GAGTGAAAACGGACTGAGCATTCTTCCATCATGTCATATGTCTGAACTGAAACTCACATACGTCAAATCTCTCGTCTTTAGTCAGAATTATAAACAGCATTTAGAAGAGAGCCGTATAGTCATATTTGTTTTTAGAATTAAGTATTACTAGTAAATCAGTAATATGAAATGTATTTACCCAATTTCGTTTAAACTGATGAAGGACTGGTAGAAGAAGAATTTTCCCACAATGTTATGAGTTGAGGTGACGTTTTCATTGAATTTCACATAGCCTTGCTTTCCCAAAAGTTGTTCTTATTCAGGCACCCGTGGACTGCAGTTTCGACCTCGCATCGGTCTGATCAACACCCTCAGCGGGAGTCGAACCGTGACAGTGCAGGTTGGGAGCTTGACACGCGTGGTTACGAGGTCGAAACTGCAGTCCACTGGGGCCTGGATGAGAACAACTTTTGGGAAAGCAAGGCTATGTGAAATTCAATGGAAACGTCAGCTAAATTGATATCATTGTGGGAAAATTATTCTTCTACCAGTCCTTCATCACATTAAACGAAATTGGGTGAATACGTTACATAGTCTTATTTAATTCGTGTGAAAAAGAACTGTGTTTCGAAGAATCGCATGACTCCATTTAGAAGGGAAAGCTGGTAGGAAGGAATTCGTGATATGGTTTCACCGGAAACTGAAGGAGGATTGTCGCGTAGGGAAGACTGTTGAATTGTGCGAAGAAGTCCTCGTATTCCAGTCCTGCGACCCCGATGAAACTGTGCTAAGCTTTCGTCTGTGCCGTGACAGACATCATCAGAGCAAGATTCCATAATTTACGAAATAGAGCAAAAATATACTACAGTAAGAGAAGAAAGTGGCCAGCCAGAACCGTAGTCCCTTTTTTTATACACCTAACATCGCGATCTGAATAAGGCCTCCCCTGATTTGATTGGCTACTTCAACCTTATTCTACATGGAAGGTATGAAGACCAAGATGGTGTGGCCTTTTGTGTGGTCGCAGTCTCCTTTCGTTGTATAGAAGTGGTTTGACCTTCTTTTTGCAACTCGGTCATATTGTTAGGAAGACTTAGAGGAACGCACCTTGTCCGGAGTCCATTGTATGCATCATCATTTCCAGAGTTGGACCGTGGACGTGGTACATTCCCAGACGTTTCGCCAGCATCGTAGCCGGCATCATCAGTGAGTCTCGCCATTCTCAGCACCATTCAACAACTCGTCAAAGAGACAAGTGAAACCGACCCTTTGACCAAACGTGTGCTAAACAGTTGTGGTAATATTTAATGTGAATAGGATCGGCTTCACTTGTCTCTTTGATGAGTTGTTGAATGGTGCTAACAATGGCGAGATTCACTGATGATACCGACTTCGATGCCGGCGAAACGTCTGGGAATGTACCACGTCCACGGTCATACAATGGACTCCGGACAAGTTGCGTTACTCTAAGTCTTCCTAACAATATGACCGAGTTGCGAAAACAAGGTCAACCAACTTTTTATTATACATGCTTGCAAATGAGTGAAGTTAACTTCCTGATCCGGAAGTGCGTTCGATGGCAGCTGTTGCTTTACAGAAAAAACTAGCGTACGATCGTCTAATGTTGAATCATGTTTGACCTTGTGCTATTGTCTATTGTGTATATATAATTCACATTCCATGGGAATTGTGATAGCCCTAACTAGACTCTTAGTTTAGTATATATTGCTGCTCTATATCGTAAAATATGGAATCTTGCTCTAATGATGTATGTCACCATACAGACGAAAACTTAGCACAATTTCATCGGGGTTGCAGTACGGTGAGCTGAGGACTTCTTCGCAAAATTCAACAGTTTTCTCTACGTGGCAATCCTCCTTTTACTTTCCAGTAAGACCCGATCACGAATTCCTTCGAACCAACTTTTCCTTCGAAATGGAAAGTCATGCCACAATATTTTTTTTATTGGTGTTTCTAGCTCCCACATGTGACATGACAGAAGAAAGCTCAGCCAGTTTTTACTGGAAAAGAGGAAGCATGTCTCGTGGACTGCACCAACCTCAATGTTGTGGTAGAACCAAATGGCTGCTGAGCAAAAGACATCAGCTGTAGCCCTCTGATAAGATCGACCTACGAATTTTTCATCATGCACTTTCATACGAACTCAAAGTCTCCACAGCAATCTAATCTTTACATTTTCAACACATAAGAACTATAGTTTTGTGTAAAAATCAACTAAGGTAGCTTGGTGGGGAGGCATCTCAAACGAATAGAAGCTAGGGCTTGATTTTTATTATAAAATACACTCTATCGCTTTGTATAAAACCTTTATATTAACTTTGTATGAAATCTGCAATAATTGAAATGCTATATCACATTTCTGCCCTTTTCCTGTTGTTTCTGCTTACTTCAGTAGCTGGAATTAGACATCACATATCTTTACATAAGTAGGGTTGAGTGTATATGAAGCAGTCACATTTTTATATATAGAAAATTGACACTATTTGCAGCTAAAAATACAAAATTCTAATGGCTTCTTGGATAAAACGT